CTGCGAGCGACCGGGCCGTGGGCATGCCCGTAGTCTCTGTCCCAGGCATGCTCTTCGGGGACTCCAGGTGCACCAGCGCGGCATCGGACCTCTGCCCGGGAGGGAGAAAGGAGCAGGAGGAGCAGGGGGGGAGGAATGGATGGGGAGGGATACTGGGAGGATGAGGGCAGGTGGGGGGAGGAGCAGGAGCGAGGAAGGGGGGGGGGGGGGACAGGGAGGATGAGGGCAGGTGGGGGAGGAGCAGGAGGAGCAGCAGCAGGAGGCAAGGCAAGCCGTGGAGGGAGGGGCGAGGGGGGGGAGGAGAGGCGGCAAGCGGCGGACGGGGGGGGCGGCGCCTCGCCCAGCGCCCCCCCCCGCTCGCCTGCTCCCCCTCTCGCCCTGCCCCCCGCCCCTCGCCCCTCCCCCCCCGCGCTTCTCCTGGCCGCGCGGCCTCTCTCGCTCGTCTCGCACGCCCCCGTCCCCCCAGCGCCGCTTCCCCGGCGGCTGGCGGGGGGGGGGCGCGATGTCGGACCAGACGGCACGCCGTGTTCCACCGGCTCCCCGAGGGGATGCTTGCAGCCGGCTGGAGCTGGATCGAAACGTGGGCCTTTGGAGGCCCTGGGCCAGACAGGTGCTGTGTACAGATACCCTTCTGCGGACGAGAAACGATTGCGGGCACGCGCCCAAGTCGAAGACGAAACAACTGCACTGCATACACGTAAACTTTCGGAGGTCCGCGCAGACTCATAAGTTCGGCGCTGTACCCCCCTCCCTGGTGCTCGGAGGCTACGTGTACTACGTACTATGCGATTGCCCAAGATTGCGCGTGAGCGCTCGCGACGCGCAGCGCACGCGCATAGACAACGAGCGAGGGAGAGACAGAGAGAGAGAGACAGAGAGAGAGAGAGAGACAGACAGACAAACAGACAGAAAGACACAGCACAAACACATCAAAACCATCCTTCTGCTCTCCCTCCTCCTCTCCCTCCTTCTCCTCCTCCTCCCCCTCCTCCTCCTCCTCCTCATCCTCCTCCTCCTCCTCCTCCTCCTCCTCCTCATCCACTTCTCCTTCTCCTCTTCATCCTCGTCTCCTCCTCCCTCCTCGCGCGAAAACATACGTCGCCACGTGTTCTTCAATACGCGCCAACTGAGCGGCACTCTGTCCTCCGTCCTCCCCCTCCACCTCCCCCACCTCCCCTTGCTCCCCCTCCTCGTCCTCCTCATTATCCTGACTCATCCCCCGCCTGCTCCTCCTTTTCCTCCTCCTCCTCCTCCTGCTCCTCCTCCTCCTCCTCCTCATCATCCTCAAGCTCCACCTCCCACTCCTCCTCCCCCTTTCTCCCCCCCAATTCCTTCATCTCCCTCTCATTTCGCCCATCTCCCACTCCTACTCCACTTCCGCGTCCTCATTCCCGTTTCCCTGGAGTCACGCATTGGCCGAGCGAGCAAACCTAGCCCTCTCAGCCCCACAGGAGTATTCCGTCAATCCTCCTCCTCCTCTTCCTCCTCCTCCCCCTGTTCTTCCTCTCTTCCTCCTCTCCTCCTCCTCCTCTTCCTCCTCCTCCTCCTCCTCCTCCTCCTCCTCCTCCTCCTCCTCCTCCTCCTGCGCTCTGCACGATGTGGCCCGGGGCGGCCGGGTCCTCAAGCGCGACTTCCCCTTCTGGGGCGTGTCGGCGTCAGGGGACTGCCGGTTGCGGGGGTCCTGGGATGGACGGCGCTTCCTCCCGCGCCAGCCTCTCGTCGGACAGATCGGCGCGCCTCAGGCTACGTTTAATCCTCGCCGTCCCTCCTCGTCCTCGTCCTCGTCCTCGTCCTCGTCCTCCTCCTCCTCCTCCCTCCTCTCCTCCTCCCTCCTCCTCCTCCTCCTCCTCTCCTCCTCCTCCTCCTCCTCCTCCTCCTCCTCCTCCTCCTCCTCCTCCTCCTCTAGGGACCAGTACGGACCAACAACGATGAGTCATACAGTGCACAACGCATCACTCGGGTACAAGCCCACATCAAGGCGACTGGGGAATGACCCCTGTGCCGAAATCCTTGCATTTGGCCAACACGCTATGATTGATAGGGAGGTTGCCGTGCAGAAGACATGGAGATATCAGCTACTTACTATTCATGAGCTGCCGCTGGTGTTTGGACTTAGGGTTCACCACGCACTTCTTCCCCAAAGAGGGTACCTTGGTAGTCCCGTGGTGCCCACAACGTATGCACCAGTTGACTGGTACATCCGAGACCACAACCTAAGACACGTTCAGATGTGCCCGTGCGACTCAGGAGCCTTCAGTACACTATGAAGGGACGGAGTTCAGGCACGACAAAGGGTTCGGGTGAGTGGCGAAACCTTCTTTAAACCACATGAACATCTATAATGATCTACGTGCCAACGAGAGACATGTGGGTTCACCTGGGGCCTTCCCCCAAACAACTCTTTGTACATGTTCTGAGCTACTGTCAGCTCTTCGACTGTGCTAGGATCGAAACCATGATTTGGTGCGCCTTGGCCTGCCAGCCAGTTCGCAGCCTTGTTGCCACGGATGTCGAGCAAGTCCGAGGCGCCCATCGCCCCTCTTTCTCCTCCTCCTCCTCCTCCTCCTCCTCCTCGTCCTCATCCCACCTCCTCCTCCGCCGGGCGTTCCGCCTGAGACCCTCACCACTGATGGTCCTGAAGCATCAAGCCCACAGCAATTACACTACACAAATGGAACATGTCGTTCTCACATGGGGTTCTCGCCTTGGCTCAACACGCATTTGTCCTAGACACTTACAACACTTACACGAAACATAATGCCGTTTTCGAAACGAATGATCGCCTGAGTACCGTGCGCGTTCGCCGGAAAAGCTTGCAGCAACTATAAACATGGGCGTGGCAACGCACGTGCGTCTTGAACACTTGCAACGATCACAAGCACGGGGCAAATGTCTGTATCCACAATACAGGGCTGCCCGGAATCGAATCGACAAGTCGGATCGGCCATCAACATGAACCGCATCGACGGAAATCGGCGGCCGAATCGGGAAAAGTCGAATCGGCAGACATCGGCAGGCTTGTAGGCCTCCATTGAGAAATCGGATCCCGAATCGGAACCCGAAATCGAGTCGAATCGGAAACGGAAACCGTCGAAACCCAATCGAATCGAATCGGATGAATCGAAACGAGCCCTGCAATAGAGGACTCGCCCCAGCACCGTCCCCACTCGTCTTACAAAGTTGCAGCTGTCCACATGGACAGGGACTGCTTGTTTGTGCTCGGTGCATTCACAGACCGGGGCATCAACATTTTCAGAAGCTGCATCATGATTAGCATTATTAGTATTCTTATTCGTATTACTATGTATTTATTCTTGCTATTTCTGATATATGCATTAGTATGTGTTGTCTAAACAAATCCTCGCTTCATACTTCCTGGAAACCCATGGCCAGAAACGGAAACTCATGCTGCAGTTGGACGCACGAGGGCGGCCCTTTTTCAACATGCAGGCATTGATGTACAATGTGTTGCTGCACCATCAGAACTGTATTGCAGACTTGCTTGCGCAGATAAATGCACAGCGTTTGATTTTTTTTTCAAAACGCGGCCCTCGCCTGAGCGGCACGCTTGTAAGGTGTTGTTTTGATCAGAGAGAAGCGTCTTGCAAAGAACAATAAGGTCTGTGGGGACTCATGCGGAAGGGTCTGGGGCCAGGAGGGCGTATCGCAGCATCGCTGATGCATCTTGGGTTTGCGCTGGTCCTCCTCCTCCTCCTCCTCCTCCTCCTCCTCCTCTTCCTCCTCCTCCTCCTCCTCCTCCTCCTCCTCCTCCTCCCCCTCAATCTCTTCGTCGCGAAAAATTCCCGACGGAACGTGTTTGGCCGTTTGCGGCTTCGGGGCCCCTCGCCAGGCTCCGGGGCCGCCCAATACTAGCTCGAAGTGAAGACAGGCCTGAAAAACAGGCCTAAGGAATGGGTAGAAATCTCTGGATGTCCACGTTCTACGTTTGAGAAGTCACGACGTCGGAGGACAGGGGGGGGGCTTCGTTCAGCAGAAACTGCGGAAACGACAAGAAGGCCTGCTGAGCCCGATTGAGGGGCCATTTCGCCTGACTGGGACGCTCTTCGACCGCCGATATACCAACGCCGATGCTGACTTTCTTTCAGATGTTCGTTTCCTTGACCTCCTCGTGCCGCAGCGGAAAAACAGTGCGCATGGTTTCAGGCCGTTTTCGCCCCCTGGCCAAGGACCCCTGTCGGGCCCACGGGCCGTCACGAAGAGGCACAGGACGAGAAGCCGGTCCCGGAGAATGGGCCTCGGGCCGCTGCGGAACCACGCGATGGCGAACTACAAAAAAAACGTCGCGTGTACCCAGACATCCGCCGTCTCGATTTTTTCGAGACGCGGGCCCCCGACCTCCCGACCACTTCCCTGGGACTGGTTTTTCATCACGAATAGTTTTTTGACCGTCCCGAGGCCCGGCGAGGGCCCCGAGAGGCCGAAAACTATGAAAAACCTGCGTCTCGATTTTTTTCGAGACGCCCGATGTCTGGGTATCTTGGCGGGGATCGGAGGATGGGGGGAACAGCGGGCGCCCGTCGAAGCCATGCCCTCCCCCAGAAGGGTGCGCGGTGCGCTGCGGAGCCTCCGCCGTCGCGAGGGGGAGATGAGCGGGGTGACGCTTCGAGCTTTCGCTCCGGCGGCCAGGAAAGGATGGGGCACAGGGGGCGAGGAAAAGGCACGGGGAGAGGAGGGAAGGGGGAGGCGGGAGGGACCGGAAAGCCGGCCTCGAGGAAAGGGCCGAGAGTCCCAGGGACCCCGCGATGGAAACATCAGCACGTCGGCCCTCTGCACATAATTATAGGAAGCCCGCCCTGGGCCCCAACTGGCAGCGCAAAGCCCTGGGCTGAGCGACGTTTCCCGGCCCCGCGCCTGTGGAGACACGCCGCCCTGCGCCTGTGGAGGCACGCCGCCCTGCGCCGGGGCGAAGAGCCGGGGTCGCTGCCGCCCTGCGCCGACCTCCAGGGCCAGCTTCCAGGACAGCAAGCAGTCGAGATCCGCCTGCGCCGACCTCCAGGGCCAGCTTCCAGGACAGCAAGCAGTCGAGATCCGCCCCCCCCCCAGGTCTTCATGTCCCAGACACGATCGCGTCGGGCAAAAATCAGGACGGAAGTTTTTTTCGCTACTTTCGGCCCCTGGGGGCCCTCGCCGGCCCCCGGGACCGTCAAAACACGACCCAGGATGACAAACCGGCCCCAGGGAAAGGGTCGGGACTTCCGGGGACGCCGTCCTGAAAAAATCAGGACCCAGAGATCCGATGTCGTGATTTTTTCGATGCGGGGTCCCCTGCAGGAGTCTCGACCCCTTCCCCGGGACCGGCTTCTCATCCTGAGTCGTTTTGTTGACGGCCCTGGGGCCCGGCGAGGGCCCCTCGAGGCCGAAAAACGAGAAAAACCCTCCGTCCTGATTTTTTCAGTGCGTGGAGTCTCTGGGGACGCCGCACGTCTGGGGTGGGCAGCGCCGGCGGACGCGGGCGCTCGAGCTGCAGAGCCCGCGGGCCGCACCACAGGGCGGGCGGAAAGCACGGGCGGCCGCGGAGGAGGAGGCCCAGACGCGCGGCGCCCTGCCTTTTTCAGGACGGCGTCCCCGGGAGTCCCGACCCTTTCCCCGGGGGCCGGGGTTCCATCCTGGGCCGTTTTTCGTGACGGTCCCGAGGCCCGGGAGGGGCCCCCAGGGTCTGAAAGTAGCGAAACACTTGCCGTCCTGACTTTTTTCGGCGGTGGACAAACCTCCCTTTAGTAAACCTCCCCTTAGTGACAACGACCTGGGACCGAAACCGACGGACCTGGACCCGCAAAAGTGACGGCCGCGACGCCCTCTCGCGAACCGAAAACGGCCAATTCCTTAATCGACGTGTCAGGGTAGGAAGTCTGTCCACCCCCGATTTTGACGACGCTTTCATGTCTGGGGGGGGGCAGGGAGGCCAGGGTTGGCGCGCGCAGGCGGCCTCAGGCACCGGAAACCTGAGCACAGCCGGGCAGCCCGTGGCACAAGGACGCGCGAGGAGGGCGCAGAGGCCCTGGAAGCCCACCTCGAAGCTTCTCGAGCGGGGCGCGGCCAACGAAAGTGGCCAAGGCTGGGCCGATGAGGCAAGGATGCGAGGGAGCCCAGACATCCGACGTCTCGATTTCTTCGAGACGCGGGCCCCCGACCTCCCGACCACTTCCCTGGGACCGGTTTTTCATCCCGAGCCGTTTTTTGACGGTCCCGAGGCCCGGCGAGGGCCCCGAGAGGCCCTGCGTCTCGATTTTCTCGAGACGCCCGATGTCTGGGTTGTGCGGGTGGGCTGTAAGGCCAGGCGAGGTGCGTGCAGCGCTTGCCGTCGGCGCGGGGCAGTCAGGCGCCACCGCGGGGCAAGCCGCCCGCGGGGAGGCCCCCCCCCGGCAGCCAGCCCCACGTCTGGGGCGCCAGGGGCAGAGACAGCCGCGCCTGCGCGGAGAGGGGCGACCGGGCGACCCCCACGCGGGGCGCGCTCCCGGGGCTGCGCGGTGTGGCGTCGGGCGGCAGCCCGCCAGCGAAAACGCACACCGTGATGACACGAACCACTTCCCAGCTACCGTCGGGGCGTTGACCTAAGGAACCCTAGATAAGGAACGGTTCCTGAGTCGGCGCCCCGACTGTACGTTCGGGAACTTTTGGTTAGCTGTTAGCGTGTCGCCGCGGCGGCCCTGGCGACACGCTATGCCTTGCGAGTGGATGGCGTGCCGCTCCGCTCCGCGGGGCGGGGAGGCTCGGACTGGGACGCGGATAGCTCGAGTAGGGGATCGACTACAGAATTGATTTACCCCAAAATTGGTTTCTCGTCGAATCTGAGAAAAATATGCAGAAGTCCCAGTAGATTTCTGAACATTCTAGATTTTCGCCGTAGATTCGATGGAGAATCAATTTTGGGGTAAATCCATTATGTAGTCGATCCCCTACTCGAATAGCGTGTCGCGCCGACGTGTGGTGGGCCAGAACCGGCGAATCGGGGAAGGACAAGGAATCGCGGAGTGCGAAGGGGACAAGATGGAGAGGGAAGCGGGGGAGGAGCAGGAGGGACATCGCGCCGCCCGCCCGCTCGTCTTGCGCTTCTCCCTCGCGGGCCAGCCGCGCCCGACCCATCGGCGCGCCTCCCCCATCCAGCATTAGGTCGGGAATATCTTCTACAGGCGGATTTTGGACGAAAGCAAGAAATAGTCAAACAATACGTTCAAAAAAACTAAAACATGCTATAAACATCGCCCCATCGCCCCCCGACCATGTTTTGACTATGTTTGAACATTCCCCCTGTAGAGGGACAGGCCCGACTTCAATCCGGCACCACCTTCCCAGACATCCGACGTCTCGATTTTTTCGAGACGCGGGCCCCCGACCTCCCGACCACTTCCCTGGGACTGGTTTTTCATCACGAGTCGTTTTTTGACGGTCCCGAGGCCCGGCGAGGGCCCCGAGAGGCCGAAAACGATGAAAAACCGGCGTCTCGATTTTTTCGAGACGCCCGATGTCTGGGAGGTGCTC